CCATGCATGCATTGAAGAATACAGCTATTATAAAACATCCCTAGTTCAAAGTCCTTCCAGAAACAATTGCAATTAATATGTAAAGAAATTCAGTTGAACCACATTTCACTCTTTTAAGAACTAGCAATGAATGATGATTATGCAGGTATATTTATCATGCTTTCACCCATGCTCCTTTAACTGACTCAAATTATTTGCAGGATTTGTTTGTGTAAGGGGATTTGACCAAAAAACGCGAGCACCACGGCCGCTTATGGCCAGGTTGCACTTTCCTGCAAGCAAGCTGGTCAAGATGAAGAGTGAAAACAAGAAATGAACCAGTCATGATACAGAGATGATTGTTACCGAGAGGTGTGAACCAATGTCAATGAGTCAATCCATAAAAGGAACTACAATAGCCAACTAGTATCTGCCCATAAAGGAAACAGAAATTTGCAAGGTAGAAGAGACGAATTTTTTTTTACTAACAAATTGGTGTACACAATTGTTCTTTATCTAACATGAGATGCATCCACCCATGTTAGGACAGCAGAAAGAACTTTTTTAGGTGAATTTTGAGCCCCGTGATAAGCGGGGTCAATGTAGTCTGTCAAATTATCAAAACTGTGATTGTTATTAATTCATGCTCTAAAGAGAGCCATGCTTCAATAAATAACCAGCAATATTTTTTCCTACTCCTGGTCAAATCCATAATACTGTATAGACTTGGCAATTTGTGTATCCATGTCGTTATTTTTCATGTCATAATCATATTTAAGGTGTTACATACTTTTAAAATATTTGACATGTTAGACTTTGTGTTATATAAATTCTGACACATGTTCATATGATTTTTTTCACATTGTTTTCATGCCAATATAACAATAGTTTAAATAACAAAACCTTTATGTTGAAACATGAATGTAAAACACTTGAGAATAATTTGATCTTACTGCCTTGAGCTCGAATGCCATAACAACATTGTCTTCCAGCAGCTTATCTGTATTAAAATTTGAAATGATGATCAAAAATCAAATTGGACATGGTAAAAATTGATCTAAAGAAACTCGAGGAAGCTTGTATGCAAATATAAAAAGAACACTGGAAACCAACATAAAAATTACTTTTGCTTCATCTTCAAATTTCCTCTGTTTGATCAACAAACAAAGCAGGATTCTACTCATTACAGTGTATCATACAACATTATAAAAGCAAAAGGAATCTTAGATATTAAAATCAGAGGATCTACTTTCTTTTCAAAACACGGATTAAACTTAAGGCAAAAGGAATGTATTTGAAAGGAATCTTATAATTTATAACCTTCAGACCGCTTTCTTCCATTTTGCTTCCATTTTCTCAGAAATCAAACAACAATTTTATCACGATACACAGTTTAAAAGATCATGGAAACAGAATGAACCATGGATTTTTTTTTAAAATTTCCTCCAATATCTAATCAAACGAACAAGGATGGACAAATTATTTAGGGCAAAGAAATCAATATTTGATCGAAAATAACCTCGAAACATATACCAGAAAAGATTAAATTAAAAATTAAGAAGAATAAAAGAATACCTTCATCGATGTCGTATGATACTGATGGTTATAAGAGTGAGGGAAGAAAATAGTAGACGAACAGGTGCAGATTCCAGATAATAATAATAATTACCATTATTTATTATCATGGCTTTTTTAGATTTAGATTTTTTTTTATGATTTTTCTTTTCTTCGATATTTTTCGGATGGTTTTCATGTGCCGCCATTTGTTCCTCCCTCCACTGCCTGTTTTACTGTAACAATTTTTCAAAAAAAAAAAATGTAAAACCATCTTTGCTGTAATGACGCATGAATTGCTAGAACTTTATACAACCGTCTTATGTGGTGAACATGTGTACCGTTTTAATCAAGCCCAGGATAATTGGGTCAGGCCTACGCTTCTATGTCTATATTTGAATTCGGCTCCATTTGTTTTTCAAATTTTTTTTTTGCGTTCAAACTAGGAATAATTAAACAAGCACAGGGCTTGTTACCAACATATCTTTGTCCTTCAAGAGCATCGACTGAATCTCAATAGGAGGATGGGTGAAAGTCGTGAGTCCAAGGGCCATTCTCCGGCCCCTACTGGCCAGAGCGTCAGCTGCTTGGTTGGCGTCGCGAGGGATGTGGATGAATGTGAGAGACTACTGTATATGAACGAAGTCTCTGATTCTTCTGAAGAGGGCAGTACCATTGTTCGGGGTAGACGAAGTCGCACGACGGATAGCTTCAAGGTTATCCATTTCCACCACCAATCGTTGGATTCCTAGCTTTCAGGCTATGTCTAGTCCGTCTATGAGTGCCCAGAGCTCCGCATGGTAAGCCGAACATCGCCCGATGTTTCTAGCATAACTGGTAATCCGATCCCCGTTATCATTTCTGATGATACCACCGCCAGAGGCCTCGCCTGAGTTGAGGCACGCTGCACCATCCGTGTTTAATAAACTTGCTCCAGCTGGGATTGATCTTTGATGAATTCTTGGCACAGCCGTTTCCAACGATCGCTTCCTATCATAGATGTTCTTTAAAGTTCCCGCCCAAGAATGCGTGAGAGTATGATTGTTGTCGTTGTCTAGACTTGGCCATTGAAAACTAAACAATTCCTTTGCTTCCAAAGACTTCATGCGATTATTACAAAGAGATGACGCCAGTGAAAATCAGTGCAATTGAAAAGCGACGCTTTAGCAAGATTCATGTTAAACCAATCAAGAAGATTAGAGTTAAAGAAAGTAAAAGTATGGCAGTTCGAGATGAGCACTTCCCAAACGGTGCGAGCCTCACTGCCCGACTACAATCGCGAAGTACATGAAGAATGAATTCGTCGTCCAATCCGCAAATCGAGCAGCGAGTAACAGGTATTGGACCTCTCCTGTGACGTTCAATATTAGTCATGAGTCGATTATGGAAAACAAGCCAAATAAATTGTTTAATCCGCTGCAGGCCATCGAAACCCCAAGCGAGGTTCCACTCGGGTCGATGGGGATCCCATTTATCTTGTTGAATACGGTTGTACGCCGAACTCGCTGTACAGGTTCCATTCGGGCCCCAACGCCAGGCTGTAAAGTCTTCTCCAAGATCATCTCAGGGAGCTGGAACACCGATTACAAGCTTAACGAGGTCCGCATCTAGCACGCGTTCCAACTTTTCCTTATCCCAGTCTCCGTTAGTCACGAAATCACAAACGCACAGATTTGGGGAAGGATCTGAGACTGGTTCGACAACCGTTGCCAAGGGCCCAGTTGATGTTATCCATAATGTATGGCCAGATGCGCGCAAGGGACTTGTAAATGAAAGAGCCTCCCTTGGCGTCCAGGCTCGTGGGAATCACGTGAAGAATTATGCACCTGTCTCGGAAGAGGTGAGTCCACATGGTATCCATCTTGGTGAGGATATTAAAACCCAACTTGATCAGAAACACCTCATTTTGATAACGGAGGGGCCGAATGCCAATAACCTCATTTTTAACAGGCTTACAACAAGTCTCCCAGTTAACGAGGGAAGCTTCATTTGGTCGCATATGCCCTTGGGAATGGCTACCGTTTGCATAAAGTAATTTGGTATAGCCAGGACTGTCGATCGGGCTAAAGCAATTCACCCAGCCGGAGAGCTTCGTTGTCGTCCACCCACTTAACTTCGCTCGGACTTTGTCAAGAATGAACTCAAAGGTGTTATTGGTGACTATTGTGAAAAAGAGGCATCCCGATATACTTTCTGAGATCCGTAGCTCGTTAGAAACCCAAGACGGAGGATATACGATGGGCAGAGTTTTTATCCACATTTTTCGAAAATAAAATTTTGGTTTTGCTGGAATTGACTCTATGGCTCGAGAATCTGTTGTACTGATCAAGGATCGCTCCAAGAAAGTTTGTTTGCGCACCCGATGCCCTGTAAAATAAATTTAAATTGCCAGCAAAAAATAAATGGGATAAGGGAGGACAATTTCGCGTTAGGATCATTGGTTCCCAAAGCCCAATGTCCATCGCATAATTGATACTATGACCCAGTCACTCCATACCAAGCACAAATAGATACGGAGATAGAGAACATCCTAGTCGAATACCCCTAGAAGGGGATAATTCATCCAACAACGATATGCGATAGATGTTGCTAGGACATCAATTAATAAGTCCGAAAGGAAATTCCATCCAATTCTATCGTAAGCTTTCTCAAGGTCGACCTTCACAGCCATCTATTTAGTTTTTTCAGTCTTCTTTTTCATGGAATGGATTACTTATTGAGCAATCAGGATGACGTCAGTGGTACTTCTATCTGCAATAAAACTTGCTTGGATTGGAGCAATTAACTTTGGAAAAGTCAAACGGATTCATGACTAATTTGTAAAGGACAAAACATAAGCTAATGGGGCAAAAATTCGCGAAAGTGACAGGATTCTCAATCTTGGGAATCAGTACAATAAGGGTTTTGTTAAGCTCGGGATCTAAAGGATTCCCACGAAAAATACCTTTAACCCAGGAAATGACTGAGGCACCTAACGTAGACCACTAGCTTTGAAAGAAAAGAGCATGTAGCCCATCTTTACCTAGCGCTTTAAGAGGATTCATTTTAAACAGGGCTTTTTTTATTTCACAGTCAGTGATCATGGCTCCAAGAGAAGTGATCTCCGCAGATGAAAGTTTAGGAAGCATACCACGTAAGGGAAAATAATCCTTTCGGCTTGCATCATCCCGGTGAAGTTTGGCAAAGAAAGTAGTTACTTCCGAGCGAAGGGTATCGTCGTCAAAACACCACTCACCAGACTAGATTTGGAGAGCCTTAATACTGTTGAAGCGTCTACTGCTAATCGCTTGACTGTGGAAATATTTGGTATTTCGGTCTCCCTCCAAGAGCCAACTGCTTCTAGATTTTTGCTGCTACAAAGATTCTTCATGATCCAGCACCTCTTCAAGCTTAGTCCGTATCTCGATCTCCTCCTCCACAAGAAGGGCGGAGTCAGTGAGTTCCATGCGACTTTGGATGGAGGCAAGTTGAGATTTGAGTCTCATATTCTTCTGAATAATATGTCCGAAGACCTCGTTGTTCCAATTGCTAAGGGAAGTAGAAATATTATTTAATATATGAACAATATTACCTTTTGTTTGCCATTGATCACGGACGAACTGGTTGAACAGTTTACATCTGCAATTCCTCTGGCGTCCACCACGTTTATCGCTCGAGGATAAAATAATATTGAAGTCACCAACAATAATCCACGGGGTCCCTTTAGGAATGAAATCGCTATTCAGATCATGCCAGAGAGCTTTCCGCTTAGTACGGCTTGGGCTACCATAAACAATGGTGACAGCGATAGCCTTGGAACTTTGCTGCCACGAACCCTTAGTCGTGATAAATAGGGGGTGCGAAGCAGAAATTTTGATGTTAAGTGGTTTACTCCACAACAACCAGATACCACCCGAGAAACCGACCGCTTCGAATCTGAAGGAGTTATCGAAACCCAGCTTCGAAATCACTTTATCCGCTTTGTTACCACTGTCTCTTGGTTCAAGCAGAGCTACCATACGAGGCTTATAGTTGTTGATTAAATAGACTGTAAAACTACACTGTTAGCACTGACTGTAAATATAAACAGTAATTAAAAGGAATAGATTCGTAAATCGTGTCGTGGTATAACTACTACCTTAGAAACGAATTCGCCTCGATGTGTGTAATCGCTGCAGTAGGCGGACCGTCTCCCGAGGTTAACACGGTCGCTCCGAATTCTGTACACCCGAAATCGGAGTGGACTGCCGGTGGTATTGCTCTTCTTATCGGAAAGCACACAGAGAGAATATTTAGAAAACACTTAGAGAGTGAATTCTGAATGTTGAGAGTGAGTTGAGAAGCTGAATATAGCTCTTTATTTATAGACTAGAAATAGGGTTAAAATCATCCATAAAATTTCAGGATTAAATCTCTTATTTGTAACAGCTGAAATGTCTAGATAAACCTGACTCAGAAATAGTCCATGTTCATTACATCATTATTCAGCTGTTATAACTCCCGAAATTATATCATGTAACCCCTGGAATTAAATCAAATAACTCATGTAACTCCTGATATTAACAGCTTGTCCCCTTTGTACAAAGCTGAAAATCAGTCCAGATACATCTTAACGTTTTTTATTTAATTTAGGAAATATTGTTTAATTTCTGATAACTCTCATAAACCAGTTGTTATCATTTAAATTTAAACAGTCCTCAGCAACCTATAAATATCAGTTGGAATCTTTCACATTTTTCCATTTGTTTATTTCAAAGATAAATTCCTCAAGAATTTTCTCAAAAAAGATAGTATCTGAGCGGACATGTCGAAGACACGTATTACCACGATCACGACCACGAGCCGTGCCGAGACGAGACGGATGGCGGCGACGGTGGTGCGCGAGAGTCCCCTTTGTTCTCTTTCACTCAACAAGGAAATGGGAAATCCAAACCATAAATACTCATTCCCAATAGTATTTCTAATACTATGTGGGATTGAGCATTACCAACATTCCCCCACTAATGCGAAAGAATTCTTCTGAAACTCGAAAACAAACTTTCAAGAAGAGCAATAGCGAGATTAGTTGCTTAAGCACTAGTGAACGTATCTGAAACTAGTACCTAGTGATAATGAGCAATCCTTCTCTTAGATAAGTGAAACTAGTCTGAAACTTTCTAAGATGGGGTAAACTCATAACACACAACTAACCCCTTCATCCACCTGAGTCCTCGATGTGTAAGATATATATATATATATACAAAAGTATATATTTGGCCATCTTACCTCAGGATTCTAGTAAGTGTGCTAGAAAAATAGCCCAACATTTTTCATAGAAGGCGGCTAACACTTCTCACTTACATAGGTTATTTCATCAAGTTTATCTCGATATAAACCACCCTTAACAGAGACATAAAATAATTAAGAGCTTTTATAAAAGCTCAACCTCACAAAGAGTATGGTGACTTTCTTCAAGTTCATTATAAATGAACCACCCAAACTCTGGGCTAAGAAATCATTAAGAATAAATATTCAACCTCATTCAATAAGTCTTTCTCACTAGAACCATCCAAATACTTGGATTTGAATTTATTAATAGTTTAACAAACTCAACCTTTTTGTTGGTAAGTTCATTATTTCCTTCTCACTTAGGAATACCCACTCAAATTGGGTTATGAACTTATTAAGAATAGATATTCAGCCAAAATCGGTAAATTCATCAAGTCTTTCTCACTAAGACCACCCAAAGCCTGATATATGAATTTATTAAGAGCACTTAAGCTCATCATGGGCATGCACATTATTCGTCATAGGGATATGAAGTAGGAATGTGCACTATGAGTATTTTCATGGTTTCGTTTGACCACATGGAACTTAGATAAATAAGTTTGGTATCCACCATGAATTTCTCAACCAATGGGCTTGAGACCCATCCCTCTCGACGAATCTAGGACCAGCTTCCGATTTAACCCTTTGGTAAGCGGATTTGCTAGGTTCTTTTCTGACTTCACATACTCTAAAGAGAGCACTCCATTCTTTATTAAGTGTCTAACTGATTCATGTTTTATGCGAATGTGTCTTTTCTTACCATTGTAAGCTTGGTTCTTAGCCACACATATCGCAGCTTGTGAATCACACAACAATGAAAATGGAGGAGTCGGTCTTCCCCATAATGAAATATCTGCTAACAAGCTTCTGAGCCACTCGGCTTATTGCCCAGCTAGGTCAAGAGCTATAAACTCTGACTCCATGGTAGAACGAGCAATACAAGTCTGCTTTGATGATTTCCACGAGATTGCTGCTCCACCCAAAGTAAAAACATACCCGCTCGTGGAGCTTACCTCATCATTATCAGAAACCCAGTTGGCATCACAATATCCTTCTAGTACCGCAGGAAAGCCAAAAAACTCAAGTTTCCAATCCAAAGTACCCTAAAGATACTTCAGTAAGCGTTTAAGAGCAATCCAGTGCTCACCACTCAGATTATGAGTATATCTACTCAGTCTACTCACAGCATAAGCAATATCAGGCAGAGTATAGTTCATTAAGAACATTAAGCTCCCAATTAATTTAGCATATTCAATTTGGGAAACGCTACTTCCTTTATTCTTAACTAGATGTATGCTAGGGTCATAAGGAGTTCGAACAGGGATGACATCAAAACTTTCAAATTTCTTTAGCACTTTCTCTATATAATGTGCTTGACATAAAGAAAATCCCTTCTCAGTTTTGGTAACTTTGACTCCTAAGATTAGATCTACTTCTCCCAAATCTGTCATCTCAAACTTAGTGGACAATAAATTTTTAACTTTGTTAACGGACTCAATGTTAGAACTGAAAATCAACATGTCATCAACATAAAGACTTATGATAACACATTTAGAGTCAAACATTTTCGAATACATACAAGCATCCGAACCATTCATAACAAAACCAAAACTAAGAATAGTTTTATGAAATTTCTCATACCACTATTTAGGAGCCTGTTTAAGTCCATAGAGTGACTTTTTGAGTCTACAGACTTTGCCTTCCATACCAGGTGCTTCAAAACCTAGTGGTTGCTCCATGTAAATCTCCTCATCTAGATCTACATTCAAGAAAGCAGTCTTAACATCCATTTGATGTACCTGCAACTTATGAATAGAGGCTAGTGCAAATAATGCACGAATCGTTGAGATTTTTGTAACGGGAGAGTATGTATCAAAGTAGTCTAAACCAAACCTTTGAGTGAACCCTTTGACAACTAACTTTGCCTTGTACCGCTGAATTGAACCATCTGGCCTTAGTTTCTTTCGGAAGACCCATTTGTTGGAGATTGGTTTGAATCCCTTAGGCAAGTTAACTAATTCCCAAGTATGATTAGACATTATCGATTCTAGTTCATCATTAACATCGCTTTTCCAAAAACTAGCATCGATAGATCTTATAGCTTTTTCAAAAGTTTTAGGATCCTCATCTAACAGAAAAATTTGAGCTATAGGATCTGAAATGGAGTCTAAATCATTTATTTCAGAAATAAAGGACGTAATAAAGTTTGGTCCAAAAGAGGTTTCAACTCTTTGCCTTTTACTTCTTCTAGGCTCAAAATCAATTTGTTCAGAAGACCTAGCATGATTACTAGAAGAAGTTGATGGAATATATTTTATTTGTGTTTCAATATTTATTCTCGGTTCCTTTAAAGGAAAAGTATTTTCAAAGAAAACAACATCCCTTGACTCACAAATAGAATAATCTTGTAAAAGCATGAATCTGTATGCAACACTATTCGTAGCAGCACTATTCATAGCATACCCTATAAACACTGCATCAAAGGTTTTAGGTCCGATGGTGGACTTTTTAAAGTCTGGCAAACCCACTTTAGCCAGACACCCCCATACTTTCAGTTATTGTAAATTATGAGCGTATCCTTTCCAAAATTTATATGGGGTAGAATCTAATTTCTTATGAGGAAATCGGTTCAAGATATGAGTTGACGATAGAATGACTTCCCCCCACATGTTATCAGATAACCCTGAACTTATTAGTAAATAATTCATCATCTCTTTTAAAGTTCTATTTTTCCTTTCGGCTATACCATTCTGTTGAGGAAAATAGGGGGCTTAAGTTTCATGAATTATGACATTCTTTTCACAAATATCTTTTAAGAAATTAGATCCATATTCACCACCTTTATCAGATCTAACCCGTTAGATTCTCCTATCTAACTAATTTTGTATATCTTTAGTCCTTAGGAGATAAACTTTTGTATATCTTGAATAATCATCTACAAAAGTTATGTAGTAGTGTTTTTCTCCTTTACTTTCAGTGTTTCTAAAATCTGCTAGATCAATATGAATAAATTCTAATAACTCAATCTTTCTATTAGAAATAATCTTAAAGTGAGGTCTAGTATGCTTAGCTTCTACACAAATCTCACATTTGTTAAAGCTAGTTGTGTCTAGTTTAGACAGAACATTCATATTTATTAATTTCTTTAAAGAATGAATATTCACATGTCCTAATCTAGCATGCCACATATCAATGGATTCAACAATATAAGCAGAAGTGGTAGCTTTATTTTCATTAAATTGAGTTTCTATGGCAAATAAACCATTGCTTAAAAACCCTTTCCCAACATAATCACCATTTCGGGAAAGTACAAGTTTATCTGCCTCAAAAACTAACTTAATGCCTGCCTTATTCAGAAGCCCACCACTTATCAAATTTCTACGCAAGGCAGGTACATACAGAACATTATTTAAAGCCAGAGTTTTACCAGAGGTCAGCTTGAGTAAAACCTTGCCTTTGCCTAGCACTTCAGAGCTGCTAGAGTTCCCCATGTACACACGTTCACCTATGTTCCCATCCTCGAATTCGGTGAAAAACTCATTCCTTGCGCAGAAATGGTTTGAAGCGCCAGTGTCAACAACTCATTTCGAACTGTTTTCCACCAGATTGACTTCTGAGACCACCACATCAATGATCTCATTATCTTCTTCTACAACGTGCATCTGTGGCTTGTTTTCATTCTGGCTGTCTGAGTGGTGTTGGCATTGGTAAGCTTTATGGCTGGGTAAACCGCAGACATAGCACTTGAGCGTATTTCCTTCAGGTTTGGCCTTTCCTGACTTCTTGAAGTTGGTAGCCTTTTGAGGTTTCGTCTTCTTGTCTTGATTCCCACGTTTCATGATCTTCTTAAATATAGACTCAGACAAGTTAGCTCTAAAAGATAAATTACTCATAGAATTAGTAAGCTTATCTTTTAAACGAATGGCTTCTTCAATCTTCATATGACCCACGAGCTCTTCAAGCGAAATTTCTCTCTTCTTATGCTTAAGAGAGTTGCGGTAGTCAGACCAGGACTTGGGCAGCTTCTCAATAAGAACATTGGCTTGTAGCACATCGCACATTTGCATCCCTTCGACGATGATGTCAGCAACTAGGTTCTCATAGTCATGGACTTGATCCATTATCGGCTTGTCATCAGTCATCTGGAATTTGAGCCATTCGTCGACAACGCACTTCTTGATGCCAGCATCGTCCGCACCATACTTTTTATCGAGAGTATCCCATATTGCCTTGGCACTCCTTTCTCTAAGGAACATATCAAATAATTTATTCGACATGTGATTAAGTAGATGTCCTCACACCGTTTTGTTATCTTTCTCGTACTTCTTGTAGGTAGCGAGTGCAACAGCAACAGTTGCTAGGACATCATTATTGAGGACTGCATCAACATCATTACCGGTAACTGGGGTTGGCGGCATGATAGGTGGTGGCTTGAGCAATACATAGTCAAGATCAAGTTTCTCGAAGAATATCAGGATTCTTTGGGACCGCCTTCTATAATTCTTTTCATCATGTGCATCGAGCTTGGAAAGATCGGGTATCAGTTTGCTCAAAGGTGTTGACATGATTGCAGTATATTTGAATTCATTTCTAAATTGTTGGTAAAATAGACTGTAAAACTACACCGTTAGCACTGACTGGAAATATAAACAATAATTAAAATAAACAGATTCGTAAACCGTGTCGTGGTATAACCACTGCCTTAGAAACGAATTCGCCCCGATGTGTGTAATCGTTGCAGTAGGCGGACCGTCCCCCGAGGTTAACACGGTCGCTCCGAATTTCGTACACCCGAAATCGGAGTGGACTGCCGGTGGTATTGCTCTTCTTATCAGAAAGCACACAGAGAGAATATTTAGAAAACAATTAGAGAGTGAATTCTGAATGTTGAGAGTGAGTTGAGAAGCTGAATATAGCTCTCTATTTATAGGCTAGAAATAGGGTTAAAATCGTCCATAAAATTTCAAGATTAAATCTCTTATTTATAACAGCTGAAACGTCTAGATGAACCTGACTCAAAAATAGTCTAGGTTCATTGCATTATTATTCAGCTGTTATAACTCCCGAAATTATATCATGTAACCCCTGGAATTAAATCAAATAACTCATGTAACTCCTGATATTAACAGCTTGTCCCCTTTGTACAAAGCATGAAATCAATCCAAATACATCTTAACGTATTACCACGACCACGACCACTACCACGACCACAAGCCGAGCTGAGCCGTGCCGTGCCGTGCCGAGCCGAGGCGGACGACGGCGGCGGCGGTGTGCGAGAGTTCCCTTTGTTCTCTTTCACTCAACAAGGAAGTGGGGAATCAAAACCATAAATACCTATTCCCAATAGTATTTCCAATACTATGTGGGATTGAGCATTACTAACAATAGTCTCGAACATATTATTTGAGGATATTTGAAAATCTGGTTCCACCGCAACCCTAGCAGTTTCAAATGGGGGAAGGAACAATTATTACCTTGACCGAAGCAGAGTGCCCGTTCGTCCATTCGAACACCCCTTTGATGTTTGCCTTGATATCCTTAATGAAAAATCAATTCGTTTTTCAATTATTATAGATTATAAAAGTGCACCAAATAATAATAATTTTATACAATACACATATTTTATTTTAAATTAATTGTTTTTTTATAGAAATAACTAATTTTATTCTGAATAAGAAATTTTACTATAATCATTGAAACAAAACTAGCAACTTCAAATTACATAAAGATCATATAAGGAAAGATTAAATCAAACTAATAAACTCGAATAAAGATAGATACAAACAAATCTAATCGCATCGGCAAACGAACCACAAAAGAGGATCAATCTATTAAAAGACCACCGACAAATTCTAAATCAGACTCGAACGACGTGAAAAATTATATACGAATGTAAAATCAGGTATTCAAATCCAATACGAGATTCCAAAACAAGGAAGATCAACAAGATATCATATAAGTGTTGTATTGATCAATCGTGGCGATGTCCAATCAACCCTTATAAAAAATAAACGAAAATGGCCAAAGAACCAAAAGCATGCAAAAAAACATAAGAAAATGTGTCATAAAGACAGATGAAAACGTGCAACACATACAGACTTGTTGAAAATAAAAAAAATAAAAGAGAATAAAGATAAGATATAAAAAAGAAAAAAACAATAAAGAATACCGATGGTCGGTAATCAACATAATAGTTGGTGCTGCCGCCCATCAAAAAGGACAAAAAAAAAGAGATGAGCGGAACACCAATGTGAGAAAATTAGGTTTTTTTAACGAGAGAAAATATGTATTTTAAATTAGTTATTTATAATTAAATTTAAAGTTCTTTGTTAATGTATTTATTTATTTTTCTAGTTCATTTTTATTAAAAATCCATTCACATTAGATTGGTATTCAATTTTAATTATTATAATAGCATTCAATTTAATTATTATAATAGCATTCATACTTATATGGTGTATTGTTTTGTAATTATTGTCAATTTTTTTTAAATAAATTAATAATTTTAACTTATCAATGAGAAAATTCTATCCGGTTCAAATATTGTTATTTATAGCTTTACATAAATTTGTCTATATTTAAAATTTGACACATATTTTATATTTTAATCATGTTAGAATTTTAAAAGTATATATTTAAATTTAATACAAATATTGATACTATCAATTATTAGCTTAAAATATTTAAATTAAAATAACACAAAATCATTAATTTTTTAATCAATAATTAATTGAATTAATTGGACGATGTATTTTATTATTTTGAAAAGATCAAAGAATTGAATCCTGGATGGTAATAGCCTTCGTTCAACCCTTGATATAAAATTAACATTAATGGTGCACGTAGAACTCCATTCGGTGAAGTCATACGCGATGGTGTCATCAAGAATTGTTGGGGACTGGATAATAGGTTTTGCGAAAAGAATAGTCATATGTTCTGCTTTAGAAGATGTACTTTGGGACATATACGAGAGATGTATGGAAGCCAAGATCAAGTTAAATACAAGTTGAAATATACAGTGGAAAGGTCATTAAACTAATCCCAAGCAACCAGAAGAGCGTAAGGAAACTGAATGTTCTACAACTCGTAAGGAAACTGAGCACATATCGAGAAATGATAACGTGATAACAGATACCTGACTAAACATATTTGCTCTCTTTCCAAAGGCTTGGGCGAGTTCTTACAGCCCCCACACTATGGTGGCAGAGATACAAGATGAAAGTTCTAGTGTAGACTGGTGATCTTATCCCCTTCTAAAAGATCATAAATTTAAATGGTTTAAGAATCATCTTTGATTTTGTAGTATGCTCAAATTATCATTTTTGTCTCTACTGTATTTTCGTATTAATTTAACCATAAAAATTGTTTAATTACATTATTTTATACCATTCTCTTAACTTAAAACTTTAAATTATAAATCTTAAGCTAATATTTAGGGTTTAGAAGTAACAGGGTTATGGTTTTGGGTTTAAGGTTTATAATTTAGGATTTTAAGTTAGGGATAGAGTATTAAATGATGTAATTGAGTGATTTCGACAGCTAAATTGATACGAAAATATGATAGGAAAAAGTAATAAATTTGATCAGGGACAAAAGTTATCATTTTATCAATTTAAATCTTAATATTGTGAATAGAGTAAACTAAATTGGAAGGATCGTCCCAAAGTAAAAATTTGTATTATTCGATCTAAATTGATCGATCAATGAATTATATGCTAATATAGTTTATAATAATATTTTTAATGTTTTTGTTAAAATATTTTGAAACATTATAAATATGACAAAAGCCGAAGCAATTGCACTGTCAAAAAAATGCTTTACTTTTAGGCCCAAACAGCTTAAATGGGCGCAGGTTTTCTATAATTTGGTCTATGATTCCGGAAGGCCCACATAAAATCCTAAGCCCAACATCTTTACTATCATTGCAACCGCCCCCTTTAAAAATCAAAAACCCTAGCTTACTCTTTCTTTCCTCACTCTCCTCAAGTAACTTTGACGCAGCTGCCATTTTTTATTTGCTTTCAGGTATGTTGAATGATCTTTTCCTTTTATCAGGTTGTAACTCTTGAAACTTTTCCTTCTCTCTTTTTTGGAATGTTGTTACTGATCCTGGTTGGATTTAAAAAAAAAAAAAACGAAACTCTAAGGGCTTATAGGAGTGCCGAAGGATCCATTATCCATTGTTTCTGATGTTCCCTAGTGGTTTCCCTTCCATTTCCCTCTATGTTAGTCTAGAAAAAAAATCAAATCTGGGTTTGTTTGGAACCGAGTGATTCTTCGGTTCGTACGTTTCGGATTTGGATTGCTTACGGTAATGTAATATGTGGGGAGATTGTCTGACTTTCGTTTTATTGTAAAATGTTTTGATTGAATATGTTTTAGGAACGGATGCAATAACTGCTACTTATTTCATCTGAACAGGAGAAGCTTGTATTTAAAAAATGGTGAGGGTGAGCGTTTTGAATGATGCACTCAAGAGCATGTACAATGCGGAGAAGAGGGGAAAACGGCAAGTAATGATCAGGCCGTCCTCTAAAGTTATCATCAAGTTCCTTTTGGTCATGCAAAAGCATGGTTTGTTTCTCCTATAATTTTTCTATTAGCCTTCATTCTAGTTTTAATAATTTATTCTTGGATTTAGGTTTGTTTGATTTAAGTACATATCATACACAGATAAGTTCAATTTTGCAATCCTTTTCTCATATTTAGTGTAATACATGTTCATATTCTCGTCGGGGATGCTTCGTATCGGCGTGACATTTGGTTTTGATTGATATTACAGGTTACATTGGAGAGTTTGAATATGTAGATGATCATAGATCTGGTAAAATTGTGGTTGAACTGAATGGAAGGCTGAACAAGTGTGGTGTTATCAGTCCTCGTTTCGATATTGGAGTGAAGGAGATAGAGGGTTGGACTGCTCGTTTACTTCCTTCGAGACAGGTTAGCTAAGAATTTTCTTGGTCATTTAATCTCTTTTATTTAGTTTTCGATGGTAATGTTTGCACAAGAACTATTAGTTAGTAGTATTTTTTAAGCTCTAAATGTTTTTGTTTGGAAAATAAATGAACAATTTGGTCTTCTTAGTTAGAAGTTGAGTGTGATTCGAAATTGAACATTAACTTTTAAAGCTTGAGCTTGATTAGATATAAAAATCAAATTGCTCGAGCTTGCTAGATTGAGCTCATTTACTGATTAGTCGGTGTTGGAATTACATATACTTCAAATATAGATATATTTAAAAAGCTTGATTATATTTTAGATTTTTACACGTTTCGCTGTTGCAGTTTGGCTACATTGTGCTCACCACGTCTGCTGGAATTATGGATCACGAAGAAGCCAGAAGGAAGAATGTTGGTGGAAAAGTACTTGGCTTCTTCTATTGAGATGTTGGTATCATCTAGTAGTTTGTCAGTCATGTTTTAATGTTTTGTTTACTTTGGTTGGGATTATGAATCGTTTGGTTTTTGGATTTTATTCGATAATAGTTGAAAGAGTATTTTTATCTAAGCTTTCTTTGTGATTGTACTGTTCGTTGCAGAGAGATTAGACTTGTCCATGGATTGGAGTTTCATTCGAATATTTTAAAGCTTTTACTCGAGTTTGGTACTTGCTACTTCTATTACTAAGTTATAAGTTGACCCGTTCTATTGGTTCGATCTATTGGGTTGGTTCGGTAACTCGGGTTCATTATACTTGAGAAACGAATCCAGTCTTTTTCGAGCAATAGTGGATATTTGGTATTTCTTCTCTACTTTCGAGTTTCGACATTGTTTTTGTTTATAAATAAGAGGAATTTTTATTATAAATCTGAAATTTATAGAAATTAAACACTTACTCTTTTCTTATAATGTACACTCTAAGACATTAATAATTTATTTGCAAGATAATTTTAATGATGCCTTAACTTATAAAGTAAGTTCACCCAATATTATTTTTTGATTCGTAAGTTCACCCATTATTAATTAAGATTTGCAATTTAATGACATTTACCTTTAATTTATTTTAGGGTTAATGTCATTAATTACTTATTTTTACTAATGTAGTGTTTGTATATTTTAATTGTGTAATGTACTTGTAATTTTTTCTATTTTGTATTACTTTTAAATAACATGATAGAAATACGCGTATCCTCTATACTGTCATTTGATCATTCTTAAGGGTATTTATAATTGTATCCGTATTTTCGGCTACTCGATTTTTCTGAGTACTTAAAAAGGCGGCTCATGTTTCAACTTGTAGATGGAGTACCTGCATGTTGAGTACCCAGAATAATCCGGTTGGGTTATAGGGCACCCAAGATAATTTGTGCATTTTTTTTTATAAATTATGTAATTTAGACGAGTGAATGGCACTTTTTTTTATCACTAAAGTGATTCAATGAATTTGATATTTATCATCATCTCGGCATGAAATGTTTCGTAATTTTAGAATTTCAAAAGTAAGCGTCTTTTACTGTGACTGTAGTTTGGGCCATAGATCGATGAGATCAATGACTAAATGGTTCAAATCATATTTGAATTGGATAAGCCCAAAAGTGGAAGACGACTAACATTAGGCTCTTCTGGTTAGGCCTAGCCTAACCTAGCCTAGGCTTAAGAGACTCGAAATCTTCGACGTAATTTGCTTAAGGAGGGAAAGTTAATCTTACGTTAATCAACATGAAATCGCCGGCTTCAGGATCATGGAAATCCCCTCTGAATTTCAGGATGTAAGCTCTGTGCTCACAATTCTTCTTTGTATCTAGGGTTATGTGTTGTGTCTTTGTTTATCAGGATTAAAAGCCTGGTTTGCTAATTTTGATCCAAAAATTGAAGGCCGACAGCTGAAAATTTAGTACCCATTAGGCTGGATATCGGAGTCGATGGCCAGCGGTATAAAGACGCTTTTACTTGGAATCCATATGGTATCCATCAACCCTTTTTAAGTATCGTTTCTCATGAATGGAAGAAATTTTGGAGAACTTCTTATGCTGCCTTTGAAAATATTAATTTGGAAATTTGGATTTAGATTTAATTTGTTATATGAATTGCGGGAAAAATGCATACGTTAGGTGTGAATTAATGAAAATATTTGCAAGTACGAAAACATAAATTTCAAATTCATAAATAGTGATTACATTTTCATGCTTTTTATGACACGATTAAACTAATTTTTTAATTCAAATTTATTATTCGAAATCCAAGTTCTTAACACAACCTGAATTTAGTTTGCTAATGGAAGTGGAACCTATTCTCGTGTGTGCATGTCTATTTCTAAAAGTTCCCGATTCAGAGGTGGTGATGTTTGCAAAAAGGACTGTAAAAGACTTGAAGCTTGCCCCTGGTTTCCTTCCTCAAGTCGTTCAGGTAACTATAATGGTTTTCTTCCTCTTGTTTCAATCCACTAAATAAAAAATAAAAAAAATGTTGTACTTTAAAGCCGATTTGTTGTTGTACTTGCAGTTTTCTTATTCTTCACTTTGCGTGTTATTGTTTAGTCACAGCTTGCCACCTTTCGATCATATGAAGGCCAAGACATGTATGTTGGTGACAAGATTGTTCCAATTAAGGTTTCTTTCATAAGTAAACTGCCTACAAGATTTATATAAATATTACATTTTCCATTGAATGTTTTTCTAACACCTTTTTATCCGTCACATTGATTTCATCAGCTTGATCTTCGAGTCAATCATACGGTTATTCGGGATCAGTTTTTATGGGTAAGAATTGAAAAAAATGACTGTATCATATCATCATTATATTCATGTTCTTGTGCGTTCTAATGCTTGTTCATCTTTTGTCTTCTGTAAGCTATGCAATTTTTTCTCAATGAGGTGTTTACATTCTATTATCTTAACTTGTAGGACTTGAACAACTTTGATAGTGACCCTGAAGAATTTGCTAGAACTCTCTGCAAAGATTTAGGCATTGAAGACCCTGAAGTTGGGGTAAGCTATTCATTTTATAAGCACGCTCATAAAATATTCTTCTACCCTGTTTCATTCTAATTTTGTTCCTTAAAAACATATCTTATGTATATGATTACTTTATTCTGTGAAGCCAGCAATTGCCTTAGCAATCAGGGAGCAACTTTATGAGGTAGCTATAATGTGTTTCTACCTTATCTTCTTAGTAGCTATCATGTGTTTCTACCTTATCTTCTGTTATAGATTAAAAGAAAGAGTAGTCACGAGAGAGAAGAATTTAGAAAAGAGATAGTAGAAAGGAATTCATCATTCATTGCATAAAAGAGAAATGTTAATTACACAACAGTTTTTATTTAGTTACAAGCTGGTATAGAGAATCTACTAATGCCAGCTGACATTCTATGCTAACAAACTGATTATATCATTCTTTGGCTGATACAGGTACTGGGCCATTCTGCTTGGGCCACTTCACATTGCCCTGGGATATCTTCGACCCGCTTCTTCCTTCATCAGGTAACTTTAATCCCTTTTCTCCTCGTGCTTCAATTCCTTCTTTCATTTCAATTCCCAAATTACTCTCCATAATCCCTAACCCTCGTTCCTCTCTTCCCAATTCCTCCTCATTCCTTCGTTCTTCCTCCTCTTCCGTTTTCTTCCTCTTCTCCTCCGATTCTGACAATACCCACCCATGTTATGAGCCTTGTCCCCAAGGATCAAAATCAGGAAACTGGCCCCTGAGAACCGAATAGTCCTCCCATGTATCATTCAAGTCATCCATATTCGTCCATCGAACCAAAAGTTGAGTGACTGGTCGATTGTGTCGATTTATTATACGCCTTCCCATAATCTTCAAAGGTTTAATGCTTAACTGTCCTTCTTCATCAACTGCAGGAGGATCAGTGGTAGCAGTAGCAGAATCCCCGATGAATTTCTTCAAAAGGCTCACATGGAACACTGGGTGGAGCTTCGAAGAATTTGGTAAGTCCAGTTTATAAGCCACCTCTCCTATTTTTTCCAAAATTGTATATGGACCATAATACTTAGCTGCTAACTTGAGGTTTTTAGGCAGAGCAAGCGAGGTTTACCTATAAGGCTGCAGCTTCAGGTAAACCCTATCTCCAACAGTAAAAATCCTTTCAGACCTTTTCTTATCTGCCTATTGCTTCATTCGATTACTAGCCATTTCTAAGTACTGTTTCACTAATTGTCTGATTTTCTCTCTGCTTGTAGTAATATTCTGTACTGCTTGTAGTATAGTGTCAGTAGACCAAACCATAATAGGTGGTTTGTATCCATATAAAGCTTGAAAAGGAGCAAGCTTAATAGCAGTGTGATAAGTGGTTTTGTACCACCACTCTGCCTGAGATAGCCATGTAGCCCATTTCTTAGGTTGACAGAAACAAAAACCCCTTAAATACTGCTCCAAACATTGATTAACTCTTTCTGTTTGACCATCTGTCTCTGGATGGTAAGCAGTGCTAAAAATTGTCTGAGTACCCAACTGTTTCATCAGTTCATTCCAAAAAGAACTGGTAAAAGTCTTATCTCTATCTGAAATGGCCATCTTAGGCTGGCCATGTAACTTGTAAACATTGTCTAAATACAATTTAGCAACCTCTGCTGTTGAATAGGGATGAGATAGGGCCAGAAAATGACTATACTTTGTAAATTTATCCACTATAACCAGAATGCAATTCTTCTTAAATGAGGTAGGTAGACCCTCTATGAAATCCATAGTAATAACCTCCCAAGCTTGACTAGGGACAGGCAAAGGTTGTAATAAACCCGACTTAGAAATATGCTCCACCTTTGTTTGTTGACAAACTGTGCAACACCTTACATAAGCAACAACCATAGGTTTAAGTTTAGGCCAATAAAAATTAGACCTAACCCTGTAATAAGTAGCCTGTACTCCTGAATGACCTCCTTGTGGAGAGTCATGTAAGGTTGGAATAATTTTCAACCTAAGACTTCCATGAGCCCCAATATAGATTCTTCCATTGTATCTAAGAACAGATTTAGTAAATTTCCATTTACTATCTTCAGTAGGATTTATAGCCAAAATTGAAATCCAATTCTGAGCTAAAGTATCACCTTGATAACTCTCCTCTACTTCCTGCACCCAAGTAGGAATCAAAACAGTCACTCCTAAAGCAAAACACTGAGCTTGGTCTTCCCATCTTCTAGATAAAGCATCAGCAACAACATTCAGTTTCCCCTTTATATACTGTATAGTATAGTCCAAACCTAAAAGCTTTGTTAATCCCTTCTTCTGAATAATGGTAGTCAATTTCTGTTCTAGCAGAAACTTCAAAGGCTCATGATCAGTTTTAATAACAAAGGGTCTACTCTCCAATTAATGTCTCCACTTAGAAACAACCAAGAGAATAGCAAGATATTCTCTTTCATAAATAGAAAGAGTTGAATGTCTAGGGCTTAGAGTCTTACTCAAATAAGAAATAGGTCTACCTTCCTGTGAAAGGACAACCCCAATACCTCCAGAACTTGCATCTGTTTCGAGATAAAAAGTTTTAGAAAAATCAGGCAATGCTAAAACTGGAGCAGAACACATAGCTCTTTTAAGGGCTTCAAAAGC